CGCCTGTGCCGGGCCAGGAGCGGGGCAGCAGCCGCCCCCCCCGCCCGCCGAGGACTTCCTCTCTTCCCACACAGTAGTTTGGTTTTTAACTTCGGAATGGGCCGTGTATTCAAGTGTTCTGTCAGCTAAGAAATATTTCACTAAAAGAAGCGTTTTCAATATACTGAGTTTCTCTGTTATCAGCAAAAACTTTTCAGATGTGTTATTTCAGCTAAAATTCTTTGTGATGGCTAAGCCACGTTAATTCTTTCTCTCTGTCATGCTTAAGACTCCATTGTCAAGCCTAGTGGGGAATCTCTCCCATTGAATTAAATACTAGTGTCTAGGTTTAGCATGAATTCCCACTGCATGGCTGCATCGGGTCTTTTATCACCCTCATCACTTCAGCGGTCAGCAGAGTTCAGCACATTGTTTGGCGAAGAATAAAAAGTATTATTGTTCCTGATGCTGCAGTGAAAATTCCTGAAATATAGTTTGGGAGTGAGAAGGAGGGGAGACATACGTTTTTAGGAACCCAGCGAAGTTCAATATTGATTACTACAAATGATTTCTAGAGAAGCAGCAATAATTATTCCCACACTCTTGAACATAGGGATGGAACGGAGGCCGTTCCCTGGGAGCTGAATTTCTTTCTCTTCTCAACTGCCTGCATGTAACATAAGAACATTTCTCACAACTTTTTGAACTTATTAAAATTGTAACAAAGCAAATTTGTTGGGCAGCTATGTCACAATGCCTGTGAAATAAAACATTCTTGGAAAAGAAAGTCTAAAACTTAGATTCTTACAACTGGCATATTCTGTCAGAAACTTGCTTGGAACTGAGCTGGAGTTTGTTGAATCTTCATAGATAACATATACGCTATGGTCAATCAGAATAAGAAATCTTAATTGTCATGATAGATTACCAAGCTTTTCAAGTCCATTAGTTTCGTATATAGATACAAGCAAGTAGTATAATTTTTACTTATTTAACTGCGCTGAATCTGGCATTGGTTTCTGCATATTTCCAAGGTGTATTAGAAGTATTTTTATGGTTTAGGATCATTCAGGGTGGAAGGGTCCTCAGGAGGTCTGTAGTGCAATCTCCTGCTCAAAGCAGTGTCAGCTATCAGGTCAGATCAGGTCACTGGGGCTTTGTCCTGCTGGATCTTGAAAACCTCCAAGAATGGAGACTGCACAAGCTCTCTGAGCAACCCGCTTCTGCTTGGCTGTCCTCATTAGAGCAAAAAGGTCTGAACCTCAATCCAGTCTGAACCTCCTTTTTTCAATTTATGCCTGTTGTCTCTTATTCTTCCACCATGCACGGCTGTGAAGATCCCAGCTCAGTCGTCTTCATGGTGGGTTGATGAACTTGTATCTAGAAACACAAATCTCTCTCTATAGTGTAGGTAGATTAACTTCTTTTTTTTCTTTTTTTTTTCTTTTCTTTTTTTTTTTTAAGGTGTCTGTTTCTTGAAGTAAGACTTCTTTGGACAAAAGTATTGCGTAGCCTTTAGAATATCTGCTTACTAAAATCATACAGGACTCATATTTGATCTTAAACATCTGCGTAGTCCAATCAGGTTTTTTAAGTGTACTTACTATTGGAAGGCAATATTGAATATTATAGGGATTCAAATAACAGCTGGTAAATTGAATAGCAGGTTTTCATTTGTGTCAAATGAAAAGCAGTGAGAATGAGAAATGGATGGACAGGGAACTGAAGGAGACAGACTTGGGTTATTTCTAATAGGAGACATACTTGGGTTATTTCTAATAGGTCTGGTCATTGAAATTAGGATGAGGGGTGTTGTGTTGAAAACTAGACTTGATGGAGATGTAGAGTAATAGCCTGTTTGGCTGGGGGCGTAGTGAAAGCTGTAAAAAACAGGGGGAAGGAAAGTCTAATCACCTAAAACCTGTTTTTATTTAAGTGTTTATGTATATGGATCTATGGATGTGCTAGCACACTCATAACTTATTCTGACCAGGTTGCTGAAACCTGGTTCATGCATTTTATCTCCCATTAAAAATTACTGAAATGTTTTCTGTTGACTATAAAAGCTTGTCTTTGTCTTATTTGTGTGTCTGTCTTCTGATAGAGAAACTTTTATTTACTTTTTCTGGGTGATTTTATGCTCTTCTTTAAAATATATTTCTCAGGTTTGAAGAACATGAGTACTAAGTGTAGATAATAGATATTTGCTTGCACGTATTCTGAAAGTTAGTCATGCTGTGTGAGAAGTTTGTACCTAAGGTACAAATAAGGTAGCTGGGGAACTAATCGTGAACTAAAAGAATACAGTGAAGATGTAGCAGGATCCAGGTACCTAGTTAGGGCATAGCCAAGGCTGACAGTAAGATGGGTGGAGCCAGCAAAGTAGTCTTCCACCAGCATGGGCGGAAGGTTCTGGTTTTGGCCATATGTTCCTCTTGCCTACCTCGCCCTGGTGCTCTTTAGCATCCTCTGAATCCAGTTTACTGAATTGACAGAATTATGCCAGTAAACAACTGGGTAGGTTGCTGCCATTTCTAGTGAGTTTTAAAAAACTCACAATAGAATTTCTTTATTATCAGAATTGGCATGAGGGAAGCCAGCTTTTATAGTGCTTTAGCTGTCCATGAAAGCATAGCTTTAGGTCCATGCTGGGCCTTTGGTTAGGGCACCTTCTTGTTTCTGTATCTGTCTTCGTATTTGTAGATAATAGTGCAATATAAATATATACATTCATGGAAATGGTTAATCTGAGAAGGCTTTCTATTCTGACCCTAAATCTCATTTAATTTGCAGTCTCCATGAAATGATTAGATTAAATACAGGGATTCATTGGGGATTCAGAGTCTCATTGACTGTGAGTGTATATTAACAACTAGAGAGAATATGAAGTAAAAACTGAGTCCATGAACAAGGCCTACTAGGAAACAGGTACAGAAAGTGGAGGAAGGTGATGTCTAATATTAAACGTGTGATGGGGAAACTACTTTATTGAAAATAGCAGGTATACTGTCAAGGTGTGTAACTTTGCTAGAGTATTAGAAAGAGCTGCTGCAATGGTAAGAATAGGAAGTAGGCAGGCAGGGAGCTGACTGAAATGAACCTGGGCTTTGTGTAGTAGGCTTGTTCCTTGAGTTCAGAATGAGATAGTGAATATTTGGAAAGGGTGGAGTAATTTATCTTCAAGATTGTGTCCACAAAAAATAACTCAGAGTTAGTAAGTATAGAACTATTTCAGAATGTGTTAAGTGGTTGCTCTTCAGCTTGTAATTTCCCTGCTCTTACCTACATAGGTTTAGTATATTAGAAACAAGCATTTGTAGTTCTAAAATGCTCGTGTATACCATGTTTTGGATAGCAAAAGTTGTTCTGCTGTGTTCTTACTCTAGCTTCTAAGTAACAATCTAATTTAAAAAGCTGTAGTGAATGAACTGTATGCCAGAAGTGTGTAAGACAACGTAACTGAACTTCTCATTAAACTTTCCATTCTATTAAGAGGGTTTCCTTAAGGGGGAGACTAAATAGTCTCTCTTTCTGAAATTCAGGCAGGAGTTTAAAAATGAAAAGTTCTTATTCAAAATGTGTGGTTGAGATGTGTGACTGCCACGTGACATTGTAAAGGCCATAAAAAGGTTCAGAAAAAGAACTGAACAATTTTTTGGAGTGTACATTTGTCAGTGGTTATTAACCTGTTGGTCATAGTTCAGTCATAGAAGCAACGATGGATTCCCAGGAGGATACGTGTTCTGTATATGTTGTATTTCCAGGAGGATACATGTTCCGTTTAAGTTGTATTTCTTAACTCATCTCATAAGTGGCCAGTAATGCATATGTAGATCATTCCAATATGGCAGGTATTATTAGGTAACTAAGATTTTACTCATGATTTTAAAATAGGTCAGAAAATTTTATTTTGATAGGTTTAATTTTTTTGTTATGTTACTTTCTATTGACGGGATGGATAGTTGTTTTAAAAGGAAAGTCAATTCATATTAATACTTAACATAGGCTTTCTAGTAATTGTTTACAATAAGCTGCATCCCTTTTTATGCAGGAGGCGTATGAGAATATTCCAGGTCAATCTAAGATCACGTTCCTTCTACAAGCAATCAGGAATACTGCTGCTGCTGAGGAGGTATGTCTCAAAAATCTTTGAATTCTGCAGATTTTCAAGGGAACTTGGAGAAGCAGGGAAGAAATCAGTGTCGGTAATTTTGGGATAAATGAATAAGTAGGGCATTAACTGAATCCTCTTAATTTACTGCACATTTGTAGAGGGACCACTCATCTAGTTTGTTGCATGTCAAGTTCACTAGCTGAGACTTTTTGATGTAGGACATTTAGTTTCAAAAGTAGTCTTTCATAAGTGACTGCTTAGATCTCCATTGTTTTCTGGTTGTGTGTTTTGCTTAATGAATGGGTTCTTTCCTTAAAATGTGTAACTAATATATGACTATTACTGTGATGTTCCTTCAAGTTACGGTTGAGAAATGATTTCCATTTTGGGGTCCTGTGCCTAAATGTGTTAAACTTATATATCATCTGAAACTTCTTGTGCTTATCAAATTGGAATTGGGGAAAGATAAGGTAGCAGTTGTTTTGCGTGTTTTATTCAGATGGCTTTTGCTTTTTGTCCTGTTTCAGGAGGATATGCTCATTAAATGATCTAGCAGTGTTATAGACTGAATGGGGAGCATTCTAAGCAGTATATAAAACTTTTCTGTGGGCATACAGTAACTGTGCCTTTTAGTTATTCCTTAATTTTGTAAAGGCTCACAGACACTAGCAATCCGGTATATTACTTCTTGGAAAAACTATTATTCACTTGGATATGTGGAACGAACTAAGCTTTCAAGATACTGCAAACTTCAGAGTCACTTAAAAGTAAAAATGTTTGATTTTTTTTTTTTTTTAATCTAGAGTTTTACTGAACAATGGAAGGATGTAGCATGTAGAATTTCGAACAATATTATAAGGAGAGTATAAGCATGCTGTTTCTCTCTGGATAATGATCTCTTCTGGTAGATTGTATTCAGTTTAGAGGTAGATGCTATTTGTGCTTTTTAATGCTCAGTAAGTATCAGCTTACTAATACTGATGCTTATCTACCTACAAAGCAGTGTTCTTCTGACAGAGTTCTTCAGCATTGTACTAGCAACTGGTTGCATAAGAGCTGTGTAATTTTCCCTCCTGCCCCTCTGAGATGTTTCAAATTTAAAGAAAGCTGTAGAGCAGTCCCTCCTGTATTTAAGTTTGCCATGAAAAATAAGATGTATCGCTGCCCCTTTTTCATCAATGGAGTCATAGCTCCATTGCATATTCTTTTGTTTTGTATTGAATACATTTGATAAGTCTGAGCTGACAACTACAAAGTCATGCTTGTGTAAATAAATACTTGCTCCATGTATTTACTGACTTTATTCCCTTTACATCAGCTAAGGAAATAGCATAGTCTAAAACTTGTTCAGAATCTTGCCAATGACTTGGCTTCCAACTTACTCAGGCACAAAGAAACTTTTCACCTGTAGAAGTTACTCTTACCAAAGACATCAGAGGTTAACATTTGTAAATAACTTGACATTTAACTCCACCAATGGATAAGTCAAAGAAAGGTTTAAATGTTAGCCCATAACTTAGGTAGACATTAGGTGCTGGACTCAAAAAATCCTGATTAGTAAAACTTGCGAACAACCTCTCTTCCCTGTAAATCCAAATACATAGTAGCCTAATTAGAGCCTAAGTGAAGTCATCCCCATGCTTGATATAAACATTGCATTTAAACACGCAAGAAAGCATTCTGTGCGTGTTCGGTATGGTGCTGGTATGTACAGCTGGGCACTTCAGCTGCATATGTCTGCATATGTTTCATGTAGATCCAAATGTTGGGCAGAACAGTGCATATGTCACCAGTGGATAGGGCTTTGGGCCTGGTGTGTATCCTCTGAGCACATCGAACGTACCAGCACCACTGAACACAGGCTGCTGGAAGAAGCCTTAGAACTTTAAAGATCCCTTGCCCAGGCTATGGGAAAGCTGGGTTCAGATCCCTGTTCATCCTGAAGCCTCTGTATTGCTTTACCCCCTCCCAGGAAAACTAGGCTGAAGAAAACATTCCATCCTGTTTGCAGTAGCTGGGCTGCTGTGTTGTAGAGAATACAAGATTCATAGGACTGTTTGGACAGCAGTTGAGGGAATCCTGACTCTGCAACCTAGTAATTTTGTCATTTAAATGGGGAATCAGGGATTCAGATCCTGCTCCCAGGACCCCTTGCATTTGACATGGAAAAAACCATTAAGCTAGATCAGGAATAACTCTTTTAAAAACTAACTGTATAACAGGTTTTCTCCTTCTAACCAAATGCCTAAACTGTGGAAATAATCACCTTTTCCCTCTGTTCTCATTTCGTATTTTCCTGATAGCGAAGTAACACTGTTCACAGAAGTGGAGGGAAGCACATGACCTAGGAGTTAGAACACTTCTCTGCCAGATGATAGGCGAGTTTGTACACCTCACGCTAAAGGGGGTCTTGAACCCATGTCTCCAGCTTCCTGAACCTGTAGTCTCACTCTTACGAAGTTAGGACTCTACTTCTTCCTATGCAACTTCATTTTAAAGAGTTGAACAGGAAGGTAGTATATATTCAGTTTATTTGACGATTTTTATTCTCCGAATGTGTCTGAGGTGTTAGAGGCTTCTTCCTTTACAGTTTTGATATACCGCCTAAATCTTAGAGAGGAGCAGAAGTTCTGCATATTCTCCTGCATTTGTTTTCTTCCTGGTTAACTCTAGATCAGCACTTTTCAATTGTGTCCTAATTTACAGTTGACTAATTTCAAGCACTGTGAAATACAGTAGCAAATGTTGTGTAAAACTGTGTTTCTGCTGTACTCGCAGCCCTCTTAGAGGGCTCTGACCTTTCCCTTCTCCCTCTCCAAATTGTCACATGAAGGGATTGCATTTCTTAGTCTGAAAGCTAGTGCTGTGGGCAGCTTCCTGTTCAGCATGTGGAGGGGAAGGAAGGCAGCCCATGGACTTCTGATGCACCACAGTTCTGCCTTTGGACCTTAGGCACTGCATGCTTTGAATTCCACATGGGTCTGGATCCCCAAATGAGGTTGTGCAAATCCATCTAAATATTGATTGCTTCCATCCATGCATGTTTTCCTCCTTGAGGACTTAAAAGGAACAGTAAAACAAAAGCAAAAATTACTGTGACTGTGCTATACAAGATGGTCAGTCTTTTTCTTACAAAATGTGTGGGATTACCTGGACACTTTGAATGCCAGTGAAGAACATAGTATCCCAGATTTCTGTTCATAATTCTGCTGCTGCCTTGCTCAGCAAGTGGGTTTTCTTCTTGTGCCTTGGTTCCATCATCCGTAAAATCCTAGAACATTTTTAAAGCACTGTAAATTCTATTAATAAGAAGTGCTATGTTGAAATTTGAGTATTATGACTACTTTTTATGTTAATACCTTTGACATTGGAATTGTATGCGAGCACCTCAGTAATTTAGACATGCAGAAGAATCCAGTGCTAGGAGAGAATTCTGTTTTTTTATGCTTCGTTGGTAGACAGAAGTTCTTTGGGGATGTATACTTACATTGTTCCTGTTCTCATTGAAAGCTACAGCTGCTAAGTTGCAGGATTTTAAAGTGCTTGTTTGGGTACATATCTTGTAATACTTAAATATAAAAGAGCCTTTGGTGTGTGTGAAAAATACATACTTTCTTCCTTAAAGCAGAAGAAACAGCCCCAGAGCTGCATTAATCCAGCCATGTTCATCATAATTAAATTGACAATGGTAATTTTCATATATAGGTGGATATCTGCTGAGACAAACATGCCATTTATTATCAGAAGTCAATTGCATCTTTGTCACTTCTTCAAACAAATTTGAATTTGCTTCATGGAATTTGGGAATTTTTTTTCTAAGCTGGTAACAATAACCAGGAGCTAATTCACATAGTGCTGATCCTTGTGTCTTTCTGTATGCCTTGTTACTTGTGTTTTGACTTTGCAATCAGTCTGTGTTTGTCAGTCTTCTAATATTGTAAATTAAATTCTTCAGAGGTGGAAATTCTTATCTTTGAGACAACGTGCTTTATGAAAACAAGCTCTATTCTCTATCTGGCCACCTATTATTACTTCAGGAAAGGAATGCATATGATGTGAGTTCAGTCATTGACAAATGTCAGAGAATATGCACAGAAACACAATGCCCTGAGTAAGGGAAGACATTGCATCAGTTTGTGCCTTGTTTAGTTCCAGCAAACTTGGTCCCCAGTCAAGGCTTCTCCTATGTAGGTTCACCGTACTAATGAGGAGAAATTCAATTGCTCACAATATTGGTGCTTCTAGGGGTAGGAGAAGGAAAGATACCATTACATTGTGGTACCATTAAAGTTTTTGGACACATTGTTAGTGGGATTCCCCGAGGAACCTCTCTCCTTCCTGAGTCATGTTGCCCATGTGACAACCTATTGCTGGAGAACTTTGGCTTATGATGGCAGCTACAGCACAGGTGGGCACTGTGACCCTCTTTGTTCACCTACTGTCTTCCTTAGACCTACTACGGAAGATCTACTAATCCTACATATGTAGTGGCTTTGGTTCACACTGGAGCTGTTGAGGAGGAGGAGATAAGGAATAATCTAGAGCAAGGTCCAGTTCTAGTCCTTCGCGTGTGCTAGTATAGAGACACTTTGTGTGCACTACTTTTTAGCTGTATAGAAGAGAGCTGGGTGGATTGGAAAAAGGCACAATGAGAATGGAGACTGCAGAACATAACAAGAATAGTATCTTGGGTGATGTTCTAGCAATACCTGATTTTTACAGGGTATGTTAGAAGTTGAGACTTTGCAGCAGTTTGTGTTTCTCATCTATAGGTTATGCTGTAGCAATATAGTTGAGAGATCTTTTGGGAATCGGACTTTGTATAAATACAGATATGTAAATGATACTGTTGTAGAATTGAATCTGTAGCATGAAGTTTGGTTGTTTGAGAAAATGAAGGAGGGTTTACAGGTTAATTGTCAGACAAAGTTGTCCCATTAAGTCACTTGTTAATCCAAAAAAACCCGTCTGGATTATAATTATCTCAGCGGGCCGTTTAAAATTGAAGACATGCTTTAAACATCTTTCAATAGTGAAGCTAAGTCCTTAACTTGCTACAAAATATGTCTGAGGTTCAGCTCTAGAAAAAAACTGAATACCTCAGTGGATTTCATAATTATTTCTTTGAAGAGCTGTAATTGTCAGAAACATGGTTGTAAGCTGGTGTATTTTTACTATGTTTTTACTTACTGTCATAATTTTCATCTGTTGCTTGAGAGATATTCCACTCACCAAACAATTATACACAGTGAAAACTGATCATTTGGAAGTGTGATGTCAGTCATCTTTCCTCATAAGAGCATGATTATCATATCAAAACACTTTAACATACATACTTTCTTACTCAATAGGCTAGACAAATGGCAGCTGTCCTTCTACGACGTCTTTTGTCTTCTGCTTTTGAAGAAGTTTATCCAGCTCTTTCACCTGATGATCAGACCTCTATCAAAAGTGGATTGCTGTTGATTATTCAGTTGGAAACGCAGTCAAGTATGAGGAAAAAAATCTGTGATATCGTTGCTGAATTGGCCAGGAACTTAATAGGTACTTTATATAAGCTGATATTGTGGTAAAATGTTTATGTATTTGATAGTAGTTGTATTTTTATCTCTTGTTCTCTAGTCTTGTGTAGATGTTTGCACATGATAGGCTAACTGATTTAATGGTTTAAAATAAAACCTAATATTTGTTTACGTTATCCTTGATCAGAAAAAAATAAGATTCCTTAACTCTGCTTTTTAAATTGCTTGAGTTTAGGTGAGATTGTGTTAAGGTTTAGAAATCCAATTTTGTTTAAATTCTCATGAATGTTATGCTGAACACCTGCATCGGTTTCTTTTTTGAGTGCTGTTATTTAACAGTAAATAGAGATCATCTTCTGTTTCTGAGTGCCTTTAGATTTAACATTGCAGCCGTATTTTACACTGTGACTTGGACACATCTTCAGATCAATTTTTTTTTTAAATTAATTTTAGTAGTGATGACTGGTTGCCCTGCACAGTTGAGATCTAACGACTCTTAAGTTTGCTTATCCTAAAACTTTGTTGTATTTAATCTAGATGAAGATGGCAATAACCAGTGGCCAGAAGTTCTGAAATTCTTATTTGACTCTGTCAGCTCTCAGAACGTGGGACTGCGTGAGGCTGCTCTACATATTTTCTGGTAAGCTTTCAGACTTCGCTACATTTTTGCAGGTGAGCCAAATCATGTCTGTAAAAATGTAAGAAAAACTGTCACAATTTAATTAACAAGCAATCATATATATTTCATTTATTCTGTTATATTGTGGTTTATTTAACTCTTACATGTACAGTTACAATCTGTAGCTTAAACAATGGATAAGTTTAAAGTAATAGTTAAGGTTAAACTGTGTGACTTTTTATTAATGTTTTAGTCTTTTCTTATCCTTAGGAATTTTCCTGGGATTTTTGGGAATCAGCAGCAACACTATTTGGAGGTCATTAAGAGAATGCTGGTTCAGTGTATGCAAGATCAAGAGCATCCATCAGTAAGACCTTTATGTTCCCTTTTTTTTTTTTAATATGTCCTGAGCATAGAAACTTAGTGCAGTAGTCTCAAACATAAAGGTTAAACTGTAGATCTAACCAGAGAATTGCATTACCTGAAACTGATGTACATGTGGAGTTTTGACTATGCCTACTGCAAAACGAAAGGATCAAAACTTTTCATGATCCTAAAGGTGACGGGCTGGCTCATATCTGCGCTGCTTAGGCCCAGACTCTTCCCTGGTAGTTATGCTTGGAGAAACCTAGTTGTAGTGGCCCAAAGCAGAGCCAGGGATTTTAGCCAGAAGCATGAGGGGTCAGAAACTCCTTGTTAAGCTCTGTTTCTGGTCCTTGTGTTTAACAGTGTAGATACGTAGTATCTCTGCACATAGTATCTGTACACAGTATGCCTCAAAACTCTGAATATATGACTGCTCCTTGAACTGTTTGTGCATGCTTTGCTGTAAGGGCATGTTAGCAAGCCTTGCTTTTCTGGAAGGCTTCAGATTTATTGATTCGTGCAGAGAATTTTATTTTGAAAATGTTTCTCTTGTTGTGGAAAATGCTGGGCAAGGATAGGAAACCCCACTGTGGTATGTGGGTTCAGTTTGCTGCTCCCCCATGGATTACTTTTTCTGACCTTTGAAAATCAACTGAGTACATTTTCTAAAGTACCACAAGTTATGCGTTTAAAGAAGCATGTTTTAAACACTTAGATCACACTTTTTGAAAAATGGGTCTTTGACACTTGCATACACATTTGAAATTGGGATGGAAGTTGAAAACAATAGGGTTTTTTTCTTTTTTCTTTTGTAAAAAAAAAAAGAAAACCCACAACTCCAAACACCAAAACAAAAACCAAACAAAAACAAAACTCGGGAATACTTGCCACCTCGTAATACGATAAACTTTTTTGTATCGTGGAGGACATAGATGCTGAAGATCTTTGTTATCACTTTACCTTAATTTGAAGTAAAAAAGTAAAAGCCCATGTTAAAAACTAGTTGCTGTAGCTATTAGGAAAATGTAAAAGGGAAATGATAATATAAAATGTAGTCTAATAATAGGCCTAATGTTAAAAGAAAACAAAGGCATGTTTCGTTACCAGTTCTTCACGTTTCTTTCTCCAATCCTGCCTGTATTCTAGATCAAGACTCTCTCTGCTAGAGCTGCAGCTGCATTTGTGCTTGCTAATGAGCACAATCTTCCCCTTCTTAAACATTTTGCAGACTTGCTACCTGGAATCTTGCAGGTAAGAAACCACACAAGTAACGCTTAATGTGCCATTACTGTCTGTATTGACTGTATCCGAACATAAATTACTGGTATGCAAATTTGTGTAGCATATGAATTTTTGCTGAGACTTGGATTAACTATAATCTTCGTTAGCCGGACATCAGTTACTAGCAAGATACAGTGGAAACTGATAAGGAATTTTGTAAACACAAGCTAATTGGTAGGGTTTTAAGGAAAATAGTTCAATGCTGATTAATTTATACAGTGTCACCTAGATAAATGAGTTAAAATTCTTCTTAAGGTATTTAACTCAAAATCATACAGCTTTTAAATTAACCATGATATTGAAATATACTTCAAATATGGGATGCCCTGAGATTTCAGTAATTGGGAAATTTATTGACCCATGATATCCTGTATCTTTTCAGTTTAGAGGAAAGCATAGAATTATTCTGAACAAAGATTCTCAGAGTAATAACAACAGTGTGGACAAGTGATCTTTATTGTTTGATAAATTAGGAACTTGCAAACAAAATGGCTTTTTAAGCTTCGTGTAATTTCTGAAGCTGGATTAGATCTCTTTTAGGATGGATGAATTTGAGCAAAAGTTGGAATTCTAATATAAGGTTGTTTACTTTTGGGGGGAAGCCTGTTGTAAACCAAACCAGAGACAGAAATGGTTTGAGCTCTGAAGGACGACAATTTCACAGTACAGTTCTCTTTTTATATTAAGAACAAAGTGGAAATAACTAAGTACCTGTGATAACAGTGGTAGTGAACTTTTGGCGATTTTAAATTAGGCTAATTTTAGGTTAAAGACTGACTTCTTGCTACAGTCAGTACAACAGGTTCCTGTTGACAGTGTAAGCTATAAACCTTGTCTGTATGTGCTTTGTGGCAAGCTGAAGAAAAATTGTGCCAAGTTTACTGGCTTCTGCAACTGGTCAAATTCTGCTTGATCTTAAATAGAATTTGAGAGGAATTTATTAAAAGCAACTGAACTTGAAAATGGGCTCTAGTGAGTACAAGATAAGTATTTTGATATTGAGGTCACTATTTGGTGGTTAGTCCCTGTCTGTGACTTTGGCAATGACAATTGTATTGTTCAAAAATTGTAACTGGCTGAGAGGACCTTGGCTACTGAGTACTGTATGAGTGGGAGTAAGGCAGGATTTGGGGTAGGCATGCTATTCGTCTTGATGTTTGGCAATTAAATAGTATGCTGTTTTTAGACTTCAGACTAATAGCCCACTTGGGTGATACAAGTTTCAATGCTACTATTTTAGGCTGTAAAAACACATGCACTTGGCTTGCGTTTTCAAGCTTTATTTTGCAAATATGGAGCACAGAACTATGCTATGAAATCTGTCTTTTTAAAGTACATACTGCGAGAAGGACTAGATTTTCTGGCTGTGGTAACACAAGATGGATATGAAGGTCTGAGTTTATAAATAGGAGATGGGATGTGTTAGAATAGTGGTGAGTGACCTTTGGAGACAGTTGGATGCTTTTTTTGTTGCTGTTGAAGTTCATTTTGTTGAAATATTGGCATGGTAAAAAAGCTAAAAATAAAATTCTGACTTAGCAATTCAGTCCTTTCAGTACAATTTCTATAATGGTTATGCTGGAAGTTGAATTTTCAGAACTAATAGTTGAAACTTGTATCCAAGAGATTTATCTTGCAGTGGAGGTAAAAGCAGCTGGAACTTCAACTGACTTCTGTGGTTGTTGGTGTTCAATACCACAGAAAAGTACCTCTGCCTTTTAGGGCTCACTGTGCATTTTGAACTTCTTTCTTCAGAAACCTAGTCTTGCTTTAAAAAACTGTTATAAAGTTGCAATGGGTATAAAATACAGAGTTTTAGAGAAACTTCCAGTAAATATTACGTTATCCTTTGCCAGAATCAGAGGATGAGTGGTAACTATTAGTTCAAAAGGCCTTAAGCAAGATAGATTCCCCCTAGCCATTCCCCCCCACCCCCCGAACATTTCTGATACTAGAAGATGCTGCTTCTATGTTGACAGTGTGGGCTGTTTGAGTGGCATTATTAAAAGTGTTGGATTCTAGATTTAAGTATTAAAAAACACCTAACTATTCACTTAAAAAAATATTTCTTCGTGAGGAAGACATCAGATACTTTGCTAGTGAAAATTACTTTCAAAACCCCAAAAGTGTGTTTAAAGACTGTTTTTTCTTTGGAGGTTTGGGTTTTCATGTCCTACTTCTAGAAGAGTTTTAACACCATTGAATAACTGTGTGCTGTTTTGGTACTAGAGTATCAACCTGGTCAGTTAAAAGTAAGTTTTAAATTACTTTTCAGAATGTAGCTATGGGTTAGAAAAGATACTTGCAAAAGGCTCGATTTCTTTTTCTCTTTCCTGTGTCCTGTGACTGAAGGCTGAAAGGTCTGCTCTCCAGAGTTGTCTGGAAAAAAATTAATTATTTAATCTTGAGATTCCTGGTGTTTGTACGGGTAAGCTATTCAAACCTGTTCTCACATAACAGGGAAAAAAAGGAGTTAGGCTCATTTTCCTTCTTTCAGGCAGAGTTACTTTGAGGAGTTTTTCTTTATTTAAAATGCATTTTGAAGTTGTGCTTTTCAAAACATAGTGTGTGGTTTTGCATGTTGACGCCTCTGATGTGTGACCTTAATTTTTTTTAATGTTTGTCTACTGTGTTAGATTTAACCTAATAATGGTCAAAACTGATGGCGTATAACATTGTGAGCCATAACTTGTAGAAAACTTGTAGTTTTGGACCCTGCGAATTACCTCTTTGTAGTTGTTCTGGATTTACGCACGCTGGCCGCTGTAGCACTGTCTGACCCTAGGATCCCGCTGAAAATGCAAAGTCCGAGTGAAGGCTTCCAATTAGTCTTTTACTAGTTCTCAGGTTACAGCTCGAGCTGGGTGCCTCTGGAGAGGGACCCCTTCCCCAATTCATTACTCTCAATTATACCTGTACCACCCATCACCTGATCCCCAAGTCCAACCCCAAGTCCAATCACTTCATTCTGGTTGGTGGTCTCTTGATTTCTTGTTGGTTTTCACTGCTGCTGGGCTGGCCTTCTTCTGAAGTTACTTCATTCTCTTGGAATTGTCTCCTTGGTCCTTATCTTCTTCATTTCGCTTGCATCTGCTGGATTCGGCTAGTTCTTTGTTAGCAGCATTAGTTTTATCAAAAAGTTTACTCTCTGTCAGTTCTTGTGGCCTAAGGCTTCAACTACGTTAGCTACTAATGCTAAGCTGCTAATGCTAAAAGAGACTATTCAGAGAGACAAGAATACAGTTAATCAAATTTCTTCTATAACAGTGGTCCCATTCATAGTATTATCTGTTTTTACCTAATCTTACCTTCATCTTATCTCTTTATAGGCTGTGAATGATTCCTGCTACCAAAACGATGATTCTGTCCTGAAATCCCTTGTAGAAATTGCAGATTCTGTTCCCAAGTATTTACGACCACATTTAGAACCTACCTTGCAACTAAGTCTGAAGGTAAAGCTAGGAATTTTTTTTAAAAAAATCCCTCTTTCCACCCCAAAACTTGTGTTCTAACCATTCGCTCTAATCTTCTGGATTGTAGTTGTGTGCAGATGCCAGTCTCAGTAACATGCAGCGTCAGTTGGCGCTTGAAGTAATTGTGACCTTGTCAGAAACTGCTGCTGCTATGCTGAGAAGGCATACAAACATTGTTGCACAAGCCAGTAAGTATTTTACTCATTTTCTTCATTGACAATTTGTGTTTCCTTTACAGTGTTAAACTGACTTTGCAGGTGGTCAGTGGCAAAACCATGTCTACCTCAAGAGTTTTCTGGTGCTGATAACTTTAGGTGACATGAACTGAGTTTTTTTATGGAGAAAACCCCTTCTTATTATGACTCTTCATAAATTAATCAGTGCTTATGGAGCCACCAACAATTTGAATAAAAATACAGTAGACTCTTCATTAGGTGTTTCCAAGGAAAATACTGCTTTCATGCTTTTCTGCTGGCTTTGGAAATTTGTACTTTTAAAAAAAAAAAAAAGTTGATGCGTTTAGTTCTGAAGTTCTACGTTTGAAGTTTGGTATGTAGGCCAGATACTCTGTGGTGCTGGCAACTGAAGACTGAAGGAATTCAGCATGCATATTGAGCTTCAGTGTTGAGTTAAAGCTGTGAATTAAAAATCAGATGCTTATATAAATACTTACAGATAGTCTAATTAGTCTATTTAACATGCAGATTGTAAATTCTTTAGAGAGGCACTTCTTTGGTCATGCGTTATTATTTGAGATACTAAAAACAACTGTCTTCTGGACAGTCCCAGCAGCAATGCTGTACACACTGGTATTTCTCTGCCTTTCAAACCCTTTTTGTGAGTAGATCAGGGCACTGACACAGCAGTGTAGTCTGTTTTTTGTAAGGATTTTTCTCCCTCCATGTCACACTTGTATTTGTCTAGATTCTTGTTTTCTGGAACTTGCATAAAGACAATCTGTTAAAAGGCAACTTTTTTACTTGTGTGCTTGGGCTGGGTAAAGTTTCGTATATACATGTCACTAAAATAATCATAAAACTTCTGGAAAATGTTGTAAACTGGATCTGCTTGGCTTAAATGTTTAAACTATTGACTAGAAATTTTGTTTACTTGTAGAATAGTTCTTTAAATAACAGATTCTTTTAGAATATATTTTGAAATTTGAAAATGTTTAGAATGCTGTATTTTCACTCTATCCTGTAGCTTGTTGGCAATATTAACGCTTGACACTTGCTGTCCCCCAAATCATTACAAGCTTCTTATCTGTTCAGGCAGCATGGTGGAGAAGTACCTCATATCTCTTTAGAATGTATTACCTCTATAATGGGTGGCTAGTTGCTGTTCAGGAATGAAATATTTGTATTAAGATATTGTATTAAGATAAGGCACCATGTGGGAATGAAATGCCTTTGATTTGCAAATCATTGTAAAATTGCTCTTGATATTAATGAATCACAAAGGTGAAAGACATCTATTTTGCAGAGCTAGTAAAGCAGTTATGTTCAAAGAATAATAAAAAGGTAGCCAAAAAGGATTGCATTTGTCTTGGTTTTGTGCCTTAGTTTAAAAGGCTTTCTGTTTTCATTCAACTAAAAAGTTGCTAGATCACTTGATCCTTACAACTAGAACTGGGTCTTAGGCAAAACTGTCATCTTATGCTGGTTTTACTAAACATGATGCTGATTTAGGCGTAAGTCTGTGTCCTATGTACCAGTTGTCGGCTCAGGAATTCCATTTGGGTTCAGACTTCCCTCCTTGAGCTCAGTATT